GGGCTTGTTGTTCACATAAACAACCAGAAGTTTGAGATAGCTGACCAATTCAAGGCTGAGTGGGCAAGCCAATATTCAGATAACATAATCATTTGGGGTCAGGCAGCCTCTTCTTGAATTTCAGTGACTGCCTTCAGAGTTCTGCTGGTACGTCTCATTGGTGATTCCAAACAGCCAAATTTTGTGGTCACACCGCCGGACCGAGCTTGTAGCCTTCTCCAAGGTCTATTCCTTCCCACCAGTGAGTCCCGGGAGTCGCAAGTGGCCTGTAATTCTCAGAAATCGCGTCCAGCTTACAGCTCATGCAGCGTCTGAGTCTGAGAGCTTACCGCTCGCTACATTCCTTCATACAAGGCAGCCTTACAATTGCCAGAACCGCTGCCGGCGTCTTCCGAATTTGTCGATATGCCAAATGCCTGCCAACACCAAAAAGCAGAAATCTGGTTATCATAAATCCAATTTTTATTTTCACAATTGAATTTGATTCAAACTTGTTTGAATAAATGACTGTGTGACCGTAATACTCTATTTACACTATTCCAGATATTATTATACTGATGTTTATTTACACTTAATTTAACTATTAAAAATAACCTCTGTCTTCAAGAATTTAGAAAAAGCGCTACCCACACTGTACCATTAACCATTACCATTACCATTTAACTGGGACCATGTGTACACAGTTGTGTTCCACCACATGCACCACGTGCGGTGCGTATGACAAATAAAGAAACGCTGACTCTGACCTTTAGGAAACAAGAATTTCCACATTAACAACATATTAAATATAGAAAACGACAATCAAAGTTTAATGGTAACAGGATCAGAATAAATCAAGACTAATAAAGAAAACATGTGGAGCTGCTCTATTGTTGTTTTGGTTTCTAGACCACACAGTGATAGTAGGTGTGTACAGAATAGGCCGCTGCATCATCCTTTCCAAAAAACTTTGACTTTGTATGTTAAGACCCAGAGGATATGCTAAAAATTGAGTTTTTTTTTCTTTTTAACTCTTTTTTTTTCCTTCTAATTTTTACCAAACTCTGTTTTTGTGGATGAGAGGTGCAGCCACAACAGAATATCTCAGTGTTAAAAATATCCGGTTTAGAGTACACGAAAAGTACTACAAGTTTTAAATGTTTGGAAGTTGTTGTAGTGCAAAAGTTGCATTAATATGTAGGTAAGTTTAATTTAAATTAAATAAAAAAACACTGACATGTCCATTGACTTTAATAATAACACCCCTTGATTTAATTACATTTTCTTTAATCATATACATAGGATGTTAATTTAAGCTCCGAGCAGCTCTCCACCAGTAAATTCTACCTGAAGAAGATAAACGTAGTTATTTTCTGAAAGAATTGAAGTAAACAATTATTCGCCTTTAACGCCGTTCTTCACTGTTTGTAGGCTCAAGGCAGAGGGCGAGCGGAGGACAGCTCTTACACTGTAGTGGATATAAAGAACTCTGGTGTGGCAGAAAAGGAGTGCGTGAACGAGTACCGCGAGGACATGATGAACAAAGCCATCGCGAAAATCAAAACCTTTAGTCAAGCCGACTATAACAAACAGGTACAATCTAAATCAATCTGTTTTTTCTTCTAAAACATGCATAACTCTCAAGATTTCTTTTTCTTTCTTTTATTAGATCACTGAATTTCAGATTCAGGCTATATTGGAGACGAAAGTGAGGCGCGTAAAGCAGAAGAAGAAGGCCATCAAGGATGAGAGTCCATCTGCTGTGAAGTTCAGCTGTCGAGGCTGCAGCAAAAGCATCTGCAGCGGCGAAGACATCAACATCATTGAAAACGTGCACCGAGTCAACGCTACGCCACAGTTCAAGTATAAATAATCTTTTTTTTTTTTTTTTTTTTCTATTTGTGTGTTTTTATTCACGGTATTTACTTGCACATGTTTTGTACAGGGAACTTGTCATTCTCAGGGAAAACACAGCGCTTCAGGAGCGACGCTTGGACTATGAGGTCAACGGTGTTATAGCGTGCAAAGACTGTGGTCAGGTAAAATATTTTATCTTTTTGTAGCGATTCGTTACAACGTTTGCTTTAATTTAAGAGTGGCAGCGCTCCGGCGACTTTAAACAGTAAAAGACGAGACATGCAACTTCTTTAGATGCGCTTTTCATTCAACAAACGCTTGATTATTTTCTAGTTTTGGTTCGTGAATTCAAATTAGTACAAAAACTGGCAAGTCCTTGTATTATATTGTAGTTGTTCAACTTGATAAAGTTGCTTTGTGCTTTGTATTATTCTCACATTAACCTCATTTCTGTTGCAGACATGGGGTTCAATGATGATGTACCGTGGGATTGAGTGCCCCTGCCTCAATGTGAAAAACTTTGTGGTGGACATCAGAGAGAAAAAGATCAGCAATTGCACTAAATGGAGTGACCTACCTGTCAAGTTTTCTTCATTCGACTACGCTGAATACGCCAGCCTGATGGCTCAGAGCTCCGACGATGAAGACTGAATCTCACAAAAAGATAAAAGCACTTATTTCTGCTGCTTTCGCCTTCCACTGTTCATGCATCTTGCACATTATGTACTCTGCACTTAATGCAAAGCTTACTTTCACCACTAAAATAGATTAGTGATAGATTTTATTTTAATTCTCTTTTCTTTTTTTTTTTGTCTAGAGCATTAGTGCTTCCTTTTTAAATTTCTTATTATGAACGTGCTTAAAAGATGCTTGCACTGGATTTGAATGTAAATCGTTAAAAAAAAAGAATAAATATACAAAATGTTTTCCTTTTAAATCATTGCTGTCTCATGAGACGGGAGTCGGTGAGCCTGTGATAGCCCCTCAGAGTCCACATGTCAAATCTCGTGCACGCACACGGGCGCTGACTGCTCACTCCATCCGTCAGTGAGTCGCATTTGTTGTGGGTGCTGCTATTTTAGGAATATGGCTTTTTTAACCTTTGTCCACATCTTTCTATAGATTATCTGATTGATTGGATGGTTTTGCAAGTTATATATTCTTGACTATTATTCTGGTGAGCAATGTGTGGGTGAAAATCTTTTCAGATAAAAATGGACTACATTTAATCTAAAAGTTCTCTGGACTAATTCAACACGTATGTTTTACAAAACGGGTGCTAGCACTTTTACTGCTACTTTTCTAACTTCCTATTATAGAATATGCTATATCCTATAGCAGCTAGTGGCTGTAGGAAGTAGGTGTGGTGGTTGGTTAGAAAATAGTTTGGGATGTATGTAAACAGGATCAGGTGGACATTTAATTTCTGTTGAGTTATTATTTATTTCTTTAATAGTGCTACAGCATGCAGTGTTGAGAAAAAAAAAATCTGCTTTGAAAACAAATAAAACGTTCTTCACTGGTGAGTGTGCAAATACTGCAGTTATTGTCCATTATCCTTTATGAACCACAAGAGGAGGCTGCAGCGCCACACTTCATACAAATCAACCACTAAGAAATGTTTGATATTACATATGTTTTGAAGACGGCAACATTACCCCTCTGGGAGTGGTCATTACCTCATCTCTCCTATTAAAATAAAATAAAATTTAAAAATGAGCAAAGCATCGTTGTCTTTTTTTTCTTTGTCCAAAAGCGAAGGCATAATGTTTGGTTCACAGGTGCTGCCTGTTGTATTTTTGGAGTCGGAGTGCACAATAAAAGACTTAATTCTTAACAAGTAGAGGATGTGGGGACGACTGGTCTATAGGGGACACGTGCTGTTTTGGCTCCACGTTCTTCTGGCTGGTTTATACTGTATATGTTAAAGGTATCTTCATTGAGTCATATTCAAAACTCACAATGATCTGAAAAATATCTATTGCAGGTAAGATATTGATTACACAGTGCATCACGTCAAAAAAAATCTGAACTATCTTTTTAATTAAAGCCATACATGGTTTTTTTTTAATTTTTTTTTTTATTATTATTCTATTGTTCAGCTCGTGTCTTATGGTAATGAATCATGTGTTAGAGCTGTATAAGCTCAGCAGTCTGGGTGAGTTGCGCCCTCTGTGAAAAAAGAAGCCACTTCCTAATTTCAGCAAGTTGTGCGCTCCTGGAAAGTTGTGCTGCGCACTTTGAGGAGGTATCTGCGCGCGCGTGTGTGTGTGTGCTGTACGACTGCTCTCAGTAGGAATGCAGAAAGAAGGACGTGAAGGAAGCCTTGTCTGACACAGGACGGACTCAGCTTTATGTTTAACGACAGAATATGTTCACCAGGCTGCGTTTCCAGCTCAGCGACTCGTGAGAGCTGCACGGCGTCACCATCATCACCACAATGGTCTGTAATCATTTACCATCAGTGTCAACTTTAAAAAAAAAGCTAGTTTTATCAAATGTAAGCTTTATTTTTTTTAAAGAGTCATTTAAAGCCAGTTTGATCATTGAGAAACTGAAGAGGCTTTAAATATATATCAGCTGAAGCAGGGTGTAAACATTGTTTTTTCCTTTCTGTCACCTTCCACAGGGTTACAAGAGGCTGGTTTGGGGATTGGTAGGGGCTGTTGTCGTCATCACGTTCATAACCATCCCTGCAGTTTATTACAGCAGTGAGTCGTGAAGCTTTCCCTTCCTTTCTTTATCTCTTCGTTTTTGCCTTCCTGACAAGCTTTCAGAGGGATGAGTTTCTTGTACAAAGTATGTTTAAACATCAAACTTATAAAAGTTTAAAAAAAAAATTAAAAAAAAACAGTGGTTGTCAAGAGTACATTTTTCAGAACTCTAGTCAGGGGCGATTCTAGACTCTGACCTTTAGGGGTGCTCAGCCCCCGATGCTGACAATGGGTCTTGGCTTGAACCAGTGGTGGCCACTGGCATCAAAAGCATTTATAATGTGGGAGGGGAATGCCATTTCCAGCATTCTGGTGGGTTTTTTTTTTTTTTGTTTGTTTGTTTGTTTGTTTTTTCATTCAACCTTTATTTATTTATTTGTATATTTTTATTTATTTATTTTAACGGATTGTTAAACATCTACGTTTACCTACATAAGTAACACTTGATTCAGTAACTAGTTTAGCGTTAATGGCACAACAAGTAGTAGCGCTAAGCTAGTGGCGTGCAATTCAGACGCGCTAGATGCTACAAATGTAGCGCTCTGCTTTACATTACACAATAAATGCTTTGTACAAAATCAGTTTGGTAACAAACAAACACTATGCAAACAGAAGTTGCAACATAGCTATGTCTACATACAAAACACACAAAACAAAGCACAGCTTTAATCATTAACCTTTAATTTAACCATGAAGCAAACAATGTAATTATGACAGAAAATGGAAGCTTGACTTACCTTCTTACAGATGAACATGCGGTACTTCCTGTTTATCACTGTTGTATTCAGCTGATCATGAGGTCGGCCGCATGGCTTTATCATCTTTTACATTTTTTCAGGCTCAGTTTAGGTCTTGGAAATGTAATAAACTGTATTACACCCTCTAAAGCAGGGCTGTTCAACTAAACTGCGTCCCCCACACCCTATCATTATGTGCTAGTGTGCAAGATCTTTTTTTCATTATCACGCTATTGACCTTCAAACAAAAATTAAGAGCGTGTCAGGAATTTTTTTGTCTCCAAACCCTATATGTCATTTTTCACCACTTTCTATTGTCTGTCCAAACAGGTAACAGGTAACAGGTAAGTGAGTCTTCGAGGCTCAGTGTGACTTATCTGTTTAAATAAAGGTTGAATGAAAGAATAAGAAGAAAAAAAAGGGGGGGGGCACAGTTACTGAAAGTCAGCAGCTCAGGGGCGGGACATCCAGCAATTAAAGTCATAATAATAATACTTTATTTATAAAGTCCTTAAAAAAAAAACAACTGCAACAAAGTGCTGTACACATAAAATCAAGCAAGTTTAAACACACATAAAAATAAAACAGCTGTTTAAACATTAAGATGAATAAAAACAGTACTGAACAAATTTAGTCTGTGCTAAAAGCCAGGGAGTAAAAATGTGTTTTTAAATGAATTTTTTTAAATGAACAGCGAAGGGGCTCATCTGATGGGAAAAGGGAGATCGTTCCACACAATTAACCAACTATTACAATGATCTATTACCTTTTTATTTATTTTTTTTTTTTTGCATTGAATATATGCAATAAACAGAACCCAAATCCAGAACCACTAATAATAATAACATATAAATACATATACATTGTTTTTTTTTTTACTTTATCTTTCAGGGGTGCTGAGTTCAAATCTATAGGTGCTTGAGCACCCTCAAAAAGAGGCTAAAATTGCCACTGTAGTGTATTATTGTCATATGCAGAAGGATTTGTTTTTTAGAAATAAAATTAAACTTTGTCCATATGTTCAGAATCCAGAGCTGCCAGAAGGCCTTACACCCTGCAGGATTACTTCAATAGTACCATCAGGACGAGATCCTACAACATGTTATGGATATCAGGTTTCTCTGCACTCTTGTAATGGTTGTCCTTCTCAATGTGCATGCAATGTGCACATTTCCTTGCAACTTGATTTTCCATCCCTTTTGTGTTTGCAGATAAGGAGTATATCCACAAAACTCAAGATGGGAATGTTTTTCTCCACAAAGCTGAAACGAACGAAAAGTCTCTGTTTTTGAGCAACACATCTTTTGTAATTCATCCTGTTTTGAAATATTTTTTACAGGAACTGTCTGATTTTGTTCATCTGAACATAACTCATAGCATGTCTTATTCCAGGAAGACGTGTCTGCCAGTGGTTACTGGTTGTCAGAGGATCATAAATATGTTGCTTTTGAAAGCAACTACACAAAGGTGAGACGCAGCAAATGTTAGCTTTATATGCACATTTGTGCAAATAGTCATTTAAAGGGATTTAATATTAAAAAATATACTTTTAAAAGGTGTCAAAATAAGTTTTATTTTTGAATTCCCACAGAAATGGAGACATTCGTATTCTGCCTCATATTCCATCTATGACATGAAGAAATCGTAAGTACTAGTGGCTTTATTGATTTGTGTTTGTTTGTGTTTTATTATTTGTGTAGCTTTAATATAAGTTCTGCAACACAGTTGAAAATGAGCCCCACTAAAATGTCTTTGGAAAGACTCACGATTCATAACTTTTAACCTGACCTAAATCTCATCGGGTACTTATTTGCTGAGATTTAAGTGCAGTTGTGGAAAAACAACCTCGATCCACAATCCACAGGACCTGGAGGGTTCGATGCTAATGTAGAAGACACCCAACCTGATATGTCGCAGGGTCAGTCCATCAGTACAGTACATGTGCAGAAATCAGTTAGCGTAGCTCAGAAAGGGTTAATGATAGACTTGCCTTAGCCAATCAGGGAGCTCGCTCGCAGTACAGGTTCAAGGTGACTTTATTGTCATGTGCATCACATGTGGTACATGGGGTGGAACGAAAATGTGTACTCAAGGTCACAGTTACACTCCAAAATAGCAAAAATATAAACAATAAAAAAAATAAACAGTATGCAAGGATCTGAGGTATACGCTAAACAGTAATAATATAATTTAATAAGGTGTATTAAACAGCAGCCTGAACTTACAGGTACACCTTATTATATTATATTATTACTGTTTAGCTATATCTTAGATCCTTTTATACTGTTTCTTTTTTATAGTTTATATTTTTGCTATTTTTGGGTGTAACTGGGACTTTCTAAACAGATTTTTTTTTATTGTTTGTTGTTATTTGTTTTGTAGTGCAATGCTTTAATTTATGCTCATGATAAGCTCTCTAAAGTCAAAAATCCTGAAATGGACTCTTAAATTAGCCTTGAAATTGTGTTGAATTTACAATCTTGTATTGATTTTTGCCAATCAAACGATGCATTCTAGCTCCTAACATATAAGCTGTTTCAAAAAGAGGAAAACTTGAATTAACAAAGAAAGCTGATGATGCATTTTTACTTCTCTCATATTTAGTACATTGCCATTTTATCTTTCCACTTAGGGTCACTACCAGACTACTAAAACAATATTTATCACCCTTAATACTGTTGCCCTTTCATTGCAGAACATTTGTGACATCACTGAGTCTTCCACCTGTCGTGCAGCTCTTCACATTTGGGCCAACAGGAAACCAATTTGTGGGTCTAACTTGTTTTTATTTGCTGATGTTATCTTTTTATTTAATATTGCCACTGCTAGGTTTATATCCCTGAACCTAAAATAAGTACTAAATGTTGTAAATGTTTTTTTTTTTTTAATATATAATATGTGGTGCTGAATTTGTTAAAGTGAATATAATATAATCTGTTTTTCTTGCTCTAACCATCAATAATTTGCGTTATATTGTTACAGGCCTATGTTTCGGACTTCAACATTTTTTACCACTCCAATGTCACTGCTCAAGCTGTACAGGTGACACACAACGGGAAGAAGAACGAGATTATTAATGGCATCCCTGACTGGATGTATGAGGGTGAGTGGGGTTAACTGTGCACTTTCTGTTTAAAGATAAAATGTTCTCACTAAGTCTTTTTTTCCCAACTTTTAGAGGAGGTGTTTGCATCAAATGAAGCAATATGGTGGTCAACAAAAGGGAAATACCTGGCCTACGCAGAGTTTAATAATACAGAAGTTCAGAAAGTGGAGTTCTCTTGGTATGGAAATGAGCAATATCCTGAAACAGTGATAATTCCATACGCAAAGGTTGGATCATTTGCACTACTAGCACTATGTTAAATAACAGTATGCTTTATCATAGCTAAAACAACAGTACAGATTTTTTAAGTTGCAAATCAGTCGTTAGAAAGAACATCTTGGCTGTTGTAGATTGGTCTTTGAGCAACCTTTCTTTGGAGAAACTTCTGACCAGATTGCTTAACAGCTGGTCCAGGTAGACTAATTTCTGCCAACTCAAAACAGCCACAACATCAAAACGTTTTGTGGCATTTCATGCAGATGTTATTTTTTAAACTTTCACATTATTGTCAATTTTGCATTAGATATTCTGGCAGAAATATTTTAATATTGTTGTCAGAAGTGGCACCAGATATGCTACACCTAACTGTTGCTGCCACTATTCCTGCTGGGAAAAATAAATAAATAAATATAT